GGTAGGAGAGCTATTTTTCCTCATCTGTATTATGACCTATGAATGTGTTATCTTGTAACAGTGGTAGACTCCCTCTCCTTCCCTCTCCAATTCCCATCCCTTAGGCTTGGGCTCTCCCCAGGTGGCTTAGCAGCAGTTCCTAAAGCATGCAGGAACATGTCTCATGGTGCAAAATCATGGGTTGGAGACACACATGAACCGTCCCCCAGGCAGCAGTGAAGGATCATGGCACTAAAAGGCGTCTCTTCCCCTCCTCACCTCTGGGGTTCATATCTGACCTAGGTCAGAAATCTTCACCCTAACCTGGCTATGAATTCAAACAAACGAACAAAAACTCCTGGGCCTGTATGAGCCTCTTCTGTTGGCTTTGTGGCAGCCCCTGTGGAGGAATACCTGGTTTATGCCTATAAGAACTCAAAAAACCAGTCTGCCCCAGGATCAACTTTTTCATCTCCATTGGCAGTCTGACATGTTTGAAGACCTGGTTGACTTTAGGTACAATGTATTCTCCTTAGCCCAGATCTTGAGCTCTGGACTCATTTTCAGGGCGTTTTCCTGGATGGTGAGAGGTGGGGGCCAAGTGTGCTAATGAGCCAGAGACCAGAACTGGGTTCTCTGGACAGTGTGGACTCCAGGCCCAAGGCACCACAGGAACTTCTGGGCACCTGTGAGGGTCCCAGCAGTGTAACATGACTAGGTCCTTTTTGTCATAGACAGGAAGGGACCATGGGAGGGACTTACCACCCTCACCTGGGCTGCTCAGGACAATGTTTTCATAAAATCTCTGCACCCTTCCTCGACTTTTAACCTTGAATTATTTGGATGTTGGAATTGCATTTGTATGTGGCACATCTTCCAGGAGATGAGCTGTGAAATTTCTCCTTGCCACTGCTGTGGGCTGTGTGATCTTGGGCAATTTGCTGATATCTCTAGGCCATAGTTGATAAGATAAAGTTTTTTATTCCAGATGATCTCTGAGGTCCCTTTAGATGCTAACACTCTGCCATCTTATAATTTTACTATTTCGATTTTGCTAGCCGCAGACTTGTTTCTCTTATCATTTATGGGGAGTCATTTTTTGTTTGCCTCAGCATGTATGAACTTGGACAGAAGACTCCATAAAGAATAAGAGAAGCTCTCATACTTCCTCACCCTTCTGGAGCTCTTCACTTTACAAAATGTTCTGTGCCAGGCCCTAAGCTGGCCTTTTGAAGATACAAAGACCAGTAAGACGAGGTACCGTACCTGTTCTCAAGGAGTACACAGTTGAGTGTGGGACACAGACAAGCCACAAGTACAGGGCCATGTAAGGATCACAGGAACTGGGTTAGTTAACTATATGGGATACATGAGGGGACTGTGGTCAAGGGGTGGGGGGAAGAAAAGACTTCAGAGTAGAGTCAGGTCTTTGGCTCATGATTGATGGATTAATAAATGATTACCAGGTGGAGGTTGGGGAAATACATGCCAGGAAGAGCAAGCAGTATGAGCAAAAACAGAGATGTGAAGCTCCTTGGCATATTCTGGGAATGATGAGCAGTTTTTGTGGCTGTGGTGAAGGGTTGGAGAGTGAGTACAATGAGACAGAGGCTAGAGAGATCATCAGGACTAGATCGTGAGGCTTTGAATGCCATACAAGGAGTTCAAACTTTAGCCTATAGGCAGTGGAGAACTATGGAAAGTTTTTAAGAAAGAGAAGTCTGTGATTAGGTTTGGGTCTTAGAAATATCACTCTAATTGCAGCTTGGAGGATGGATTGCAGGGGGCAGGTTTAAGAACAAACAGAACAGTGAGGAAGCAGTCACAGCAGTTGAAATGAGAGATGGTGAGAGCTTAAATTAGAGCTGTCAGCAACTGTGGGGCTGGAAGAGTGGGCAGATAGACACCAGAATTAGAGACTACAGGACTGGACAACACTTTACTTTTTGGCCTCACATCAGTACTATGAAGTAAGCGGGGAGTGATTATTATTACCCTTTTATGAGACAAAAGAACTGAAGCTAAGAAAGTTTAAGTGACTTGCCCAAGGTCCCACAGCTAATAAGTGGCAGAGCCCAGGCTAGAACTCAGATTTCCTGATTCAGTTCATTGTTCAGGATGATGGTCCCTTGCTGCCTCGCCTCCTTGTAAGTGTGCTTAACAATTGTTCAAGTGTCAGAGGGTGTGAGGGCCCCATATCCGGGGAAGTGAACAATCCAGCACCTAGATGGGGCAGTATGCTGTGACTGGGCCCATAGCCCATAGCCCTTCACTGCCAAGGGCTCGTTTCTCTCTCTCTCCCTCTCTTGCTCGCTGTCTTCCCCTTCCCTCTCTCTCTCCCTCTTCTTTCTCTCTCTCTTTTTAATTGAGGAGTAACATATATACAGTAAAGTACATTAATCTTAAATGTACAGCTTAATGTTTTACATATGTGTACACTTATATTAACTACTACCCAGTTCAAAATATTAAACATTTCTAGGTGTGGTACCTTTCATGGCACCTAAGAGCAGGCATACATGTCAGAGCAGCCTCCTCTGTTACCATGCCTCTAGAAGCTTCGTTAGGATTGTCTTCATCCCTCTAAACTGCTACCACCAACAGAGTGGTTTGCTTCAGAACTGTACATGGAAGAGGATCATACGGTACAACTAATGAGGTCAAGTTGACAGCTTATATTTGTTGTTTTTAATCTTCATATTTATCTAATTATTTAAGTTATTAACTGTTCTGTATACAGCATAAGCATACAGCGGAGTCCTTGACCTCGTTGTCTTTATAATGAAACCAAAAGAAAATACCTCCTTTTTTAGAAACATATAGTTTGTTCACTTAATCGGTTGGGAAGGGCATAATCAAAGGCACAGTCACACTTGTCTCTTTCCTGGTTAATCTGGTGTGTTATTTTACTGTATATAATGCTGTCTTGTTCACTCCCTGGTTGGCGTGTGGCTGTGTTGCATCCCCAGCTAGGCCATAAGTACTTTGTGTGCGGTGACTGTGACCCACATGTGTTCTCGTCCACTGTGGCGCTTCCCTCAGTGCTGAGTGCAGCGTAGGCCTCAGTCACTGTTTGGTTAGTTTTTATTTACTTACTTTGTCACACAGTCCTTCAGGCTAATGTCAGACTTTTTGCTTAAGATGAAAATTATGGTAAAATGTGCACCACTTAAGGGGAAAGTTGGAATGGAACTGGACCTCCAAATTCTTCAAATTCCTTGCAGCCAAATTCAGGCTTCCTGCCCCCTGGTGGTGTCCCGTGGGATCTTGAGGGTATGGACTTGCTCAGTCTGACTTTTCCGAGCTGCATGGCTCACTTTTTAGGGAGTTGTTTTGGGTGGCTAGGGGCTTTCCAGCCTCTATAATGGTAGGTTCTAAATTTGGAGACATTTTGATAAGATTTTTCAACATCGATTGGATCTTTTATTAATTTTACCCCCTGGGGAAAAGAAATCCAAAATGATTGTTTAAAATTGACTCCTCTCCTCCTGCACTGTCTGCAGAGCCGTGTCTTGATATCCAGCAAAGGCCCTGGACTCTGCATGGAAGTTCTGCTGGGGCTCTATTTCCTCTGCGAGAATTCTCCTTTTAGTGTCACTTTCCTGCCCATGATTTCCTTCTCATTTCTCAGCATCAGCTGTATATATTGCAGGCCATTAATACAAGCACAGAGTCAGCCCAGAATAGCTACACTTCTAGCCTTGTTTAACAAAAACAACAGAATTCTTGACGTCTTCTCTGGCCCCAGTACCTCCATAATTGAGGGAACCAGAGGCATTACCTGTTACCTCTGATGGGCAGAGGGGGTTGTGGAATCTCTCTGGAAGTGGAATATCCTTGTCCTGGTGGAATTAGAGGTGTAAAGGCATACTTTCTTCTCATACCACCATCTCTTACTTTAGCCCCTTGTTAAAATACTTCAAGTATATCTGGCTGTTGCCAATGCAGTTCTGCCTCCTATTAATATACTTTAAAATACCCCGCATCCATGACTCCGAAGACCTTATTTGAGTGGAAGAATTCTTTTTACCGTAAGTAGAAATTTGGGTCAAAATGTTTCTCTTCCAGTGTTTGAAAGCATAGCAAGGGAAATATCTACAAAGTTAGGCATTCCCCACCCCTTTTGCAACCTTATTTCCTCTCTCCTTTCCCTCAGGATACCATGAAGGTAAGTTTTTTTAGTCACTCGTCCTTCAAATTTCTCAAGCTGAACTCTGAATCAGCCTGGGATGTCTCTGCAGAGCCCAAGCTGGGACTCAGCTGTATTTCACACCTACCTCAAGCTTGACATTTACTTTCGTAATGGCCCAAAGGATCATCTTTAACTCATGAGGTGATATCTCAGGTGGGGCACTCATTAGCACTTCGGCAGGCGATGTTTAGAGGTATGCAAGAGGTATGTCTCTCTGTCTGCAGCTGGGTGTACAGGAGAAAAAGGCATTAGGCACTGCCCCACTGAACTACTAGGTTTAGTGCCTCTGTGCCTTTTAAGCTGACAGGGCCACAGCTCAGTCCCTTTAAAAGAGATGGCAGTCCATCAAGGTTCATGTAATGTGGTTATTTTTGGGTTTCTCTTGGAAAGCAACTTATTAAATATACCTCCAGATGAGATTTCAGACATGAAAAAGAGGACTCAGTTGATCTGACCCAGTATATAGTCCAAGGCCCCAGGTTGCTGCACATTAATGAGAAAGCTGCCAAGGAATATCCCAGAGCCTTAGGCCAGAATGTCAGGGAGAGTAGGGGCTGGTTCATAGGCATCGTCATGATTCTAATAGTAGAAAATCCTGGCTCTTTTAGTATAAACTCAGATTTCCTTGGTTTCAAATCATTTGGAAGTTCACTTCAGCACCCCTCCCACCCCACCCACCCATCTCAGAAAGGCTGAACCATCCTGTGTGTCCTCAACAGGACCCCTTGGGTTGTGTTTTCATTCAGCACAAGACCCTTGTTTTATGTCTGTGTTTGGTGGTGCCCACTTCTTATTTCTGCCTAATGCCATTCTTGTGTCTTCCCTTAAGCAACTCTGCTGATGAAACAGGCCTGGCCACAGAACTCGTCTTCCTGTGGCACTGAAGGCACCTTCCACCTCCCAGTGGACACCGGGACCGAGAACCGAACTTATCAAGCATCCTCTGCGGCTTTCAGTAAATACAGCCTGTCTCTCCTTTCCTTGTTCCCCTTGGTTGGGACTGATTGGTTTCTTAGGAAGAAAGGAAAAGGAACTTTTAAAAAAATGACATTTATAAGAAACTTTCAAGAGATTCTCCTAACCATACAAAAATTTCACCTCCTCATTCAGGAAAGGTCATTTCTTTGATCATGCGCCCACGTTTGGGGAGACACAAAGCAGTGAATGAGGGAGAAGGAAGTATTCCTCTGGCCATTGAGTTTGGTTAGAGAAGGACTGTTAAGCATTTTAGAGGAAAGGACAGAGGACACATTTTGAAGGCCTATGAGCCTTTGGACAGAGAAGGCTCCTCCCCTTAGTGCAGGGTTTCTGAAACTCCACACTATTGACATTCTGGACCAGATAATTCTTTCTTATGGGGGCTGTCCTATGCATTGTAGGATGTTTAGCAGCATTTCTGGCCTCTGCTTATGAGATAACAGTAGCAAACCCCTGTTGTGAAAATGAAAAATGTCTCTAAACGTTGCTAAATCTCCTCTGAAAGGCAAATTGCCCCTTGGGTGAGAAACACTGCTAATGGAAGCCACACAATGGGAGCAAGGTATGTACAGGGAGTCCTTAGGGAGGACAGAAACTATCTAGCCAGTCAGATTGGTCACATTCTTCTTGGGACTCAGTAAGGTGACTGATAACATCCAACCTCAAATCTGATTTTGAACACAAAATGGCTTCGCTGGGTGAAAATAGGACTAATGTTTGGAAATTACTGAGTGGCATTTGACTTCTTATAAGGAAGAGCTTTGTGCCTTGTTGGAGCTGTCTAGTGAAGCAATGGCTGCCTTGGGATGTGGTGAGCACTTGTCTCTTGAGTTGTGCCAGCAGAGGCTAGACAAACCCTCAGAGGGATGTTGTAGACTAGGCCTGATGGTCTGCGGTTCAGTGAATTATTAATCTATTAAGTAAATAGATTAGAAGAATTCGTTATATTTTTTCCTTTCTTTAAAATACCCCATGTCACTTTCTCTATCACTTTCTCCATAGTTGTTCCTAGATGTCAACATCAACTTATGTTTATATAGCGTAACTCTCATCTTTTGGAGATACGCTTTCATAACCACCCTCTTACTGAACCTATACTGAAGTCCTATTTGAGTTATTTGGGTGGATTTTCATTCCAGTTTGATAGCTGAGGCCCAGAAAAGTAGCCCTCAGCTATCAAACTGGAATGAAATGCCATCCAGCCAGTAAGCAACACAACTGGAAAACAATACTCACCCAGGTTAAATTTCCATTACTGACTTTTTTTCATGAGATTAATTTTGTCTCTTTAAAAGAGGGATGGCAGCAGTTGACAGTTTCTCCAGATGCCTCAGGTGGAATTGACTGAACATCTTTGAGTTTATATATGCAGATGGGCATATACACACATAATGCTCTCTTAACACGCATCTACACATATAGATGTAGATGTATATAGACACACCTGCCATCGTGTAGGAGGGCAGTGGTGGTTCAGTGGTAGAATTCTCGCCTTCCATGCAGGAGCCATGGGTTCAATTCCTGGCCAGTGTACCTCAAGTACAGCCACCAGTTGTCTGTCACTGGAGGCTTGTATGTTGCTATGATGCTGAACAGGTTTCAGCAGAGTTTACAGATTAAAACAGACTAGGAAGAAAGGCCTGGGATCTACTTCCAAAAAATCAGCTAATGAAAACCCTGTGAATCACATTGGTGTAATCGCATTATGTGTGTGGGGTCTCCATGAGTTGGGGGCTGACTAAACAGCAGCTAACAACAACAACACCATCATGTAGCAGAAAGAGGCCTGGAGTGGAAGCCTAAACAATTGGATTCTAGACTTGGTTCTTTGTAACTTTGGATAATTCATGTCCATGCTCTGGACCTTGGTTTTTCCGACTGTAAAATGAAGGGGCTGGACTAGGTATACGTTAAGGTTCACTCCGGCTAATGGACTTCTGATTCTGTGACCTTAGTGCTGGGTACCCAGTGTCCTCCACCTGGGCAGGGACCTCCTCTCTAGCCACCTTGATAAGTAAGCTGGCCAACTATCCTTTGCTTGCATATCTCTAGGGAAGGGGTACTCATTCCCTTCAGAGGCAGCCCTATCCACAGATAGAAAGTCTGAGTATAGAAGGCTTTGCCTCATACTCTGTTGAAATCTTCCTGAAGTCCCATTGAAATGTTCAGTAGTCATATTTTATTGTTTCCCTCCCAGACAGGCTATCACAGTCCCTGAAAAGGACCAAAATGTACCCCTCTTTTTAAAGGATGCAATATATGAACCTTTGCAATTTCTTAACAGAGTTAGGATTGACTTACCCTCTCATGCTCACCAAGGTCCCTCCCAGCACTCAAATTTTGTGGCTTCTAGTGCCACAGAAGATTCAGGACATTTAGACAAAATCAGTTCAGTTTCACCAACACTTGCTAAGCCTGTTTGTGATTAGGTCTCCCTCCTACTTACTAAGCACTTTCTTGTTCGGCTACCAACAAGGAGACTTGGGGGTTGAGGCAAAATTCAAACATAGAGCTTTGTCCAGACATTTACATCTGATGATCAATAAACTGATTAGTCTAAAAGGTATCTATGATGTGAGGATCAATGCCTTTGAAGGTAGTAGGGGTGCTACAACTAAAAAATTTATGACAGTGCCAAAGGATTAAAGAGAGGGCTGAGTCAATTTTCTCTTGCTAATGTACACGTTGTCTTTATCATCCTGTTTGATGAAGCCTAAAATTATGGTTAGGAACCTTGAGAGAAAGAACAGGGCATCATAAACAAAGCCTCTTTCATAAGATAGAGCTGGGACAGCTGTCTTTTTTCTCATGATACTGCCTTTTGGTGAAATGGGGGCCCAAAAGCCAACATACCAAATGCTTGAGAATGGACTGCAGAGACGTATCACTCAGAAAGGAGCTCTGCCCAGGACATGGTTCGTCCTAAACTGATCTGCTGTGCAGTTTTTGGGAAAGTCACTGCTTGTCTGGGCTCCAGGTCCTTCATCTGAAACAGAGAGGGTCGAATGCAAATCTAATATCTTTAAGGCCCTAATTCCATGACCTTCAGATTTAGGTAGAATTCCTTTCAGGATAGCCAGACCTCCAGTGAGTGAGTTGAGTCTAAGTTCATTTGATGTACAAAGTAATAAATCCTGGATTTTGTGATACCCAAGGTAGCTCTGGCTGCAGCCCCAGGGGAATTTCCAGTGTTCCCCAAGGATATGGATAGGACCACCAGTTAATTGTAGAAAGTTCTCAGCAATGATTTCTCCATAAAGTCCCTCTGAAATACTCAGAGATTTAGAATGTCAGCATTAGAAAGGCCCTCTGATATAATCTATCCCAATGATGATATTTCCTGAGAGAGGAATTGACCTGAGTCAGTGACAGAGTCAGGATGAGGGTCCAGGACAGTTTCTGCAGCCTCATGTAAGATCGTCCTGAGCCCTTGTGAGCAGTCACTCTCTCTTTTGGCATCTACTCGGTATCTGTGAAATGTTTGTGTTTGGTCTAAATGATCTCTAAGATCTCAGGTGCTTTGGCAGTTCGCTTCTCCCACTTCAGACTGTCTGGATAAACCTCAAGGCCTTCTTCTGCAGCATCATCTCTTTGTCTGACAAGGGTGTTTTGGCTACTAATTTGTATTCTGAGTATGCTTGTGTCTCATTTTATAACACGAAGAAAGAGAAACATTCTCAGACAAGGTTATTCTTAGATGTAAAAACCAAGTTCTACTGCAATCTCATAGAGCCTTTTGATTTTCCTCAGAGGGATAGTCTCAACACTTAGTAATATGGTTGTCCTTGTGGCAGAGGGAGTAGTGCAGGCTGCACCAGGGAAGATAAAAATTGCAAATTCTTGAGGACCATAAAGGAAAAAAATAAACCCGTTTCCGTCGAATCAATTTAGACTTATAGCGACCCTATAGGACAGGGTAGAACTGCCCTATAGAGTTTCCAAGGAGCACCTGGCGGATTCGAACTGCTGACCATTTGGTTAGCAGCTGTAGCTCTTAACCACTACACCACTAGGATTTCCATGTAAAGGAAGGTCGCCAGAATTGCTGGCTTGCTAACATGAACGAATCATAAAATCATGGCATTTTAAACCATAAAATTTTAGAATCTTAGAATCCCGAAATGTACGTTCCAAGTTAGAACAGACCATAGAAGTCATAGTTTAACCTCTTTCTATTGTAGTCTTTCAGACCAGCCTCTGCTTGCACATCCCCAGGACAAGAAGCTTACAATCTCTAGACAGTGAAGGAAATAATAACTAACCTTTATGAAGTGCTTATAATGTGTCAGGCACTGTTCTGTTTTATACTTATTAATATATTTATCACAGTAACCCTTTGAAATAGGTACTGTTATTATCCCCATTTTTTAGGTGAGGAGACTGATAGTGTAGAGATTCTACAATTGTTAAGTAGCAGGGGTGGGATTTGGATCCAGTCAGTCAGTCTGGCTCCAGACCACTCTTAACCACTACTCTGTGCCATATAGCTTTCAGAGACAGGCATCTTATGCTTCAGGGTGACCTGCTCTTCTTCCTAGAAAAGAGGTGCTCTCCACTGTGGCAGGAATCCCACGCCTTATTTTATTCCTTTAAGTCAGAGGTTGGCAAACTTTTACTGTAAAGGGCCAGATAAATATTTTAGGCTTTGCGGGCCATATGGTCTCTGTCATAACTACTGTTGTAGCAGGAAAGCAGCCAACGTCAATCTTAAGTGAATGGGTGTGGCTGTGTTACAGTAAAACTTTATTTACCAAAGCAGGCTGCAGTTACAAAAACTACTGGCTGTATTTTGTCTGTCTTAAATGTTAATAGTAGGAGTAAAAGATTCTGTGATGACATAAATTTGGGAAATGCGGTCTCCTACATCTTCCTGTCTTAGAGATTCGCAGTTCACCCTGCCGTTTTAAAAACTTCTTAGTGTCATGGAATAAAAAACTGTCTCTATTTTACATGATACTTCACAAACTTAGGACCATGGAACTTTTTTTTTCTCTTTTTTTTGGCACAACAACTATTAAGGTTCCTTGGAATCAACAACTCATCATGCACACTTGGGACATGTCCATCTTGTGTGTTCCTTTTATAGGTAAATAAACTGTGGCTCTGAGATGGAGTACTCATCAGATGGCTCCTTCTAGATGTCTGCAAACTAGACTCCCTGTTTTCCCCCACAGTATCTACTTCTCCTCTTACAGGCCACATCTCATGATTAGCTCTATAATCTAGAAACTTTGAAGAATCTGCTGTGGACTTCTCCCTCACCTGACTCCCCCTCCCCACTTCCAGTTAGCTTCTAGTGCTTATCAATGCTGCCTTCTAGGTATGTTTTTTTAATGTATCCTTTTCACTCGGTCGTCACTGCTGCTTATTTCCCAAGCAGTTTTTCATGCAACAAACTATAGTTCTGCAGGTGGAAAAATAAATGCCATGATTCCAGGGGCAGGGACAGGACACTAGTAGTTGCCTTTTGTGGCAACTGAACAGTAGCTCTCATATCCTCCTGAGCACTTCATCAGGGGCTGAGAGTTGCCAAGCCAAGGCTGTGATATGGATGGAGAGATTTGTGACTATGTGGTGGCTTGCTTTTACTCAGGGTTAGGGTAGAAGAGCCCCTGTATCTTTAGAGCCATGGAATTTTAGTTCAGGAAGAGATCTTTATTCTTAACCTCCTGGTTTTACAGCCAAAGAAACAAAGGCCCAGAGACTCACCAAAAGTCACAGCAAATTAGAGGGAAAGTCAGGACTGAAGCCTAGATCTTTTCTTTTCCAATGAAGTACCCTCTCCACACTGCCCCCAGTCCCTCCTTGGAGAAACAGCACCTTCAAGCTAAAAGGGTCCTTGGTGAGCATCTTACAGGTGAAAGAGCTGAGGCCCAGAGAGGTTCAGTGATGTATTCGCCAGACCCAGCTAGGACTGGGACCACAGAGAAGAAGAAACCCCGACATTACCTCATTAGGACTCTATAACCAAGGTCCCCTGGCACTGTCCTTTCAACTCAGAAATAAAAGCTTAGCGTCTTCAAAAGTTCCTGAAAAGGCCTACCCTCTCTGAGTTCCAGGATCCCCTTGTGTGTAAACTGAGAAGGTTGGGTTTACTCGATGATCACTTGGATTCCATAGAATTTTTCCATTTTATGGTTCCCTAAGGACAGAGTCTTATTCTCGAGTGATCGTGTTTCAAGTTTTTCCTGTGAACACAGGATCTGACTTTTCCAGAGGACTCAGAGGCAGCACAAGTTGTTTCTATGGCTCCTTGGGGCCTGACTTCTCAGCTCCAACCCCAGCTTTTGTCCACCCTGCTGAGGCATAGACATGGCCTGGGTTCCAGGTAGATGTGAACCTTTGTGATCTTTGACTTCTGGCTTTTCAGGCAGAGGTGGCCCTCACCCAATCCCAGGTGGGGGATGAGGGTGGCGGGGGAAGCCAGCTCTACAAAACAAAGTAGTTTTTCAGCATCCCAGAAGCTGAGGATCTATGAACGGTGTTTTGTGTGGGGTTTTTAACCTCGAAACTTGGTGAGGAGGAGGGGGATATGGTGGTGGTGAGAAAAGTCCAAAAAGGGAGAGAGATATAAGAAGAGAAAGAAATAGAGAGTGAAGGAGAAAGCAATTCAGAGAAAGATGAAAATAGCAGTAGAAGATAACCCTGGGGTACTGGGTGAGCAGACAGAAAAGCAAGAAGATGGAGAACAGCAAGAAAGAGTGAGTGGGTTGAGGATCTTCCACTTTTGTGCCCCTGCCTGTCTCACAGCAGATAGCTCAGAATCCCAGACTGTCAGAGCTGAAAGGGTCCCTTAAGAGATCATCTGATCCCAACCTCTTAGTTTATAGATGAGAGCCCTGAGGCCCAGAGAAACAAAAGATGCCCAGAATCACACATGTAGCCCTGTGCATCAGGACTGAGGGAGCTGCCTCTGGGGCCAGGGCTCTCTGGGAGGGGCCCTGTTCTCTGTTCTCATCTGTGTTTCCAGCCTGGATTCAGCTCATCCTTATCTGGGGAGTCATGATTGGGACCTGCTGCCTTCCAGCCATGCTGTTCTGCTAATTGGAAGTCTCTCTTATTGCCTTGGTACAGGATATACTGCAGGGACACCATACAAGGTCCCGCCAACCCAGAGTAATACTGCTCCGCCCCCCTACTCCCCATCACCCAACCCATATCAGACGGCCATGTATCCAGTCAGAAGTGCCTACCCCCAGCAGAATCTGTATGCCCAGGTAAGTACACTTGGAAGCCTGGGCCTACCTCTTCTGCAGAGGAGCCACCAGCCAGGTGGGGTGGGGTGGGGTGGAATCACATGAGGTGAAAAAGAGACGGAAGGAGAGCTCATGGCTTGGGCCCACTGTCACTATTGCATCACTGAAGCATTATCTCTACAGTCTGCCCTCTCCCTCACTCCACCTCAGCCCCCAGAGGTATGATGCACAAAGTCATTTAGATTAATAGAACCCAGAATGTTGGAGGGGCAAGAGCCCTTAGAGATCATCTAGCTCAACTCCTTTGTTATACAAGCAGGGAAGCTATAACCCAGAGACAGGAGTGACTTGTCCAAGGTACAGTGAGCTATTGGTTGAGTCAGAGTGAGACCCCATGTGTCTCCATCTCTTTCCCTACTACCTTACATCTACAGACTTGATAAAGTCTGTGAGCCAAATGGGAAGGAGAATAGTGCCCACGCCCTTCCACCACTGTCCAGTGTGACCTTGGGCAAGTTATTCTCTCTTTCTGTGCCTCAGTGCCCTATCTGGCCTCCGTAAACTAGAGTGTGCTCTGAGGGGATGGCTGTGAGAGAGGGATTATACGAAGTGCCAGTAGATACATGGCACTTTTTTTGGAGTGACAATTCTATATGAGGTTTAAGTGGTGCGGAGAACACTTTTTTTTTTTAATTTAAAAAACAGCTGTATTATAGAGTAGAATACATAGTTTTTAAAAGATAAAACAATAGGCTCAAGATAACATTTATCTCATTTATGCTAGGCTGCTTTGGACTATGATCTCCCACCTATGAGGTTATAAACCCACATTCTGGGACTCTTGGCATTATTTAGTAGAAACATTTGAGAAGCTCTGGATTAAAATGATCTTGAGGGTCTCTATCTGCTTCCCCCCAGAGGTCAGCAGGCCTGTGGACTGTGGCAGCGGGAAGCAGCCATGTGACCCAGGCAGTGGGACGTCACCTCAAATCAGTGTCTCCATCCTCACCTTTTTGCCTAAAGGGAAATAGATAGGAAGAAATGTCTTGGGAAATGCTTTCCATTTGTGACATATTTTCAATACGTACAGATGCCGGCATTTGCACCAGTGTGATAATGCAACTACTAATAGCCCTTCGTGTGTATGTGCACTGTGCTCTGGAGTTCACCAGACACGTTCATAACCTTGTTAATAAATTGATTGTAGTCCCTGTCTCTAAATTTTAGGCGCTTATAAAAGCACGTTATAATAAGAAACAAACATTTTAAAATGCTAAAACCAAGGTTAAAGGAGTAGAGCTCTTATCCCATTAGATCATCAGAGCAGCCCTAGGAGCAAGGCAGGACAGGGTTGTGAGCCTCAGTTTTCAGTCCAAAAACTGAGCCCAGCACTGAACTATCCACAGTCATATAAGGTAGAAGCAGAGCCCTAGCCTGGAGCCCAGGCCTGGGCCATTGCTTCTCGCACCCCACCCCTTAGGGTCTAGGAAGAACAGAACCTCCCCTCCTCTCTCTTCTCCAGCTCCCACCCTACCTCTCCAAAAGCCTGTGTAACCTTAGTCTCTTTCTCCCAGGGAGCCTACTACACACAGCCAGTGTATGCTGCCCAGCCCCATGTTATCCACCACACCACGGTCGTCCAGCCCAACAGCATTCCCTCTGCCATCTACCCAGCACCTGTCGCTGCCCCCAGGACCAATGGTGTGGCCATGGGCATGGTGGCAGGCACCACTATGGCGATGTCAGCAGGTGAGGGCATCTCCATTGGTATCCATTCTTCCTCTCCAGAAGCTCATGACAGAGTGGAGAACACAGTCATGGAATTGACTGCAGCATAGCATGAGAAATCCTGTGTCGGGGGGCCTGCAAGCCCAGAGGAAGGACCCTCTAAATCTGTCTGCAGGGATGAGGGAAGCTTTCATGGAGAAGGGCGTGTGGAGCTAGGTCTTAAAGGGTGAACAGAGGCTTACCAGATAGGTGAAAGAGGGAAGCTCAATACAGGCAGAAAGGACATGAGTATGGCATGTTCACAGAATGGAAATGGTCTAGGCACTTAGAAAGTAGGGGTATGGAATAGGGAGAGTGGCTAGAGCAGTTGGCAAAGATAAGATGGTGAAGAATCTTGAATACCTTTGTTTAATAGGGAGCTAGTAAGGGGGCTTAAACGGAGGAGGGATGGGTTTGGTTTAAACATTTTCTCTGGCTGCAGAAACAAATGGGCCTGTGGGGAGGCTGTTGATTTAGTTCAGGGGAGAGATGATGCTAGGATCCTGGTAGAAGCAGGGAGCCCAGAAAGGAGGGCTCCGGACAGTGCTATTTAGCAGACAGGATCTTAAGGACCTGGCCAATAATTAATTATAAGGGATGGGAGAGGAGGAGTCCAGGATGACCCCTTCCCATTTCTGACTTATGCCACCTTGCAGGTGGAGGGTGGGAAGGGACACCAGAGGAAGAGCAGATTTAGGGAAGTCTGGATGTGTTGACACCCAGGGAGAATTAACCATTGGACATTCAGATAAAGAGCATGAGAAGAGAAGAGGGCGATGAAGACCTTAGAGACCCAAGTGTTAATGAATCAGCTGGGTCATGCTCCAAGGAAGAGACTATAAGGGGAAGAGGGGATGGGAGCAGGAGCGGGAGTGGGAGTTTGAGTTGTATTCTGCTCCTCATGTGGCAGTTGTTAAAGACCTCTCAGTCCTCAGATCAGGTCAGCAAGCTGTTGACTGTTTGCTCAGTGTCAGCTTTGTTCGGGTTCTGGGGACCAGAGAAGGATCACACCACAGCTCTGCCCTTGCGGAGCCCCCAAGTTAGTGGGAAATGGACACATAAACCAACAATTACCACTCAGTATGATATTTGTAACTACAAGAAGCATACAAAGAAAAGAGAAGGCCACTGAAGTAGAGTGATTGATTCTGCCCCTCGAGCATCGGAAAGTTTCCCTAAGGACTTAAAGCCTGGTAGAGTGGGGAAGGACAGACAGCAGGTCATCAGGCAGGCTGGGGAGTGGGGGTGCCCTGGTACAGCTTTTTGGGTTTACTTTTCTGTCTCTGGATGTTCAGGTACCCTGCTAACTACACCCCAGCACACCGCGATCGGGGCACACCCTGTCTCCATGCCAACATACAGGGCCCAAGGAACCCCTGCGTACAGCTATGTGCCCCCACACTGGTAAAGCCTGCAGCCCATCCAAGTGAGTGGGGCCCAGGGCGGGAGAGGTAGGAGGGTGAATAAATAGAGCAACAGCTTCAAAGCCCCTGGCTTGCGTCTGGAGCACAGGTGTCAGCAGGTGGCAGGCAGCAGTTATCAGTTGCTTTCCTGCTCTGGGTTTAGTAATATCACTCTTAATAATAGCTGTCACTTTACAGATATTCTAGATACTTCACAGGTTATCTCATAATCCTGACAGTAGCTCTACGAAATAAGGACCGTTAGCTCTCTTTTAGTTTACCATCAGTAAAAATGAAGCTGGGACTTGAATTCCAGTCCTTTGATTCTGAATTCCCTGCTCATTACTTTATAGTCTTACAGACTTTTTAACTGTGGGCCCCATTTGTCAAATGTAATCTTACCTAAATGAGATGTTAGCTGTGGTTGGAGCAGGGTGGAGAACCTGGAGCTGCCACAACCACCAGCCTCCCCACTGCCCCCAGCAGCTCCTGAGGCAGCGCCAGTGAACCCCGGAGCTTCAGGGCCCTACCTCATCATCTACCCTGCCCTCCACCTCCTCCAGGAGCTACTGATGCTGGAGCACATCTTCCCTGGGTAGAAGCCAGCAGCTCCACTGGGAAGGCACAGAGGTCTCCATTTAGGGGTATTCCCAAGTTGAGGGAGGGTGTCCAGAGGCTTCCTGAAGTGGCTACAGGAATATCACTATCACTAATGGCTTTCCCCTTCCTCCCCAGATCTGGAGTCACACATTGTATGCAACTACTCAAGTCTTACACAGGTGCTGGAGCAGTTCCCTAGCAGCACCACCTCTATTTGCAAGAAGAGACAACGGAAGTGCAAGGGTCACTTTATGCATTTTAGTGGTTTGGGTTATTTTTGATTTTTGTAAAAGCTGCTTTTTCTAATCTCCTGCCTCTCCCCAACTGCCCCCCTCTTAGCTGGCTGCCCTTCCAGCTCCACCTCCTCCTCCTACCTGACCAGCCACATCCTCTCTGCTCTTCTTTTCTTCCCCAAGCGCTCAGTCCCCAGGGATCCTAGTCTAGCAGCCAGCAGTGAGTGGAGTTTATTGCAATGGTTCAGCTGAAGGCTCAATTTCATTTGAAGAGCATAAACAGATGTGGCCCTCAGGTCCAGAGTAGGAACTCAGAGCTGTTGAGCAGGCCACATCTCTGAGTTTTTTTTGGGGGGGGGTGGGTGTTTCTTAAGATTAGTTTAGGACATTACCATGTCCTGACACAAATGAAATATCTTCTGAGAACCATTGCAACAAACCAAGAATAAAACCACCTGATTATATAGGAGTGTTGATAGCAGCTTGATACACCAGGCTGAGCACCTGGGAAAACCAGATTTTTTTCCTTGGGAGAACTTGGGGGAGGGTGGGGGAGGGAGGGCATGGTGGTGGGAAGGGAGAGGGTGCTTGCCTGCTGGCTTTGTTTGAAAGGTCTCTGGCCAAATTGGGCCTGGACCTTCTGATTTGCACAGTGATGTAAACTGACCTGGCACTTCCTCAAAAGGTGGTTTTGACCTGAGACATACCAAGCAGTTGCAGGGTGGTGGGACCCCTATGTCCCAAGACCTTGGAAGGCTAGGTGCCCTGTGTAATCCAGACCTGGGCCTCTGAGCCTTCATGGACCCACTTGGATGAGGAGCTTCCTCCTGATTGGAATGGGAACCTATGGCATTTCTCTCCCTTTCCCTCAGCCCTTCCCAGTGCCGAGGCTCACCTGTCTGTCTGTGGGGCTGGCAGACAGGCCACGCTCTTGGTTACCTTATGCCATTCATGGCCAAAGTGAAGGAACCCTATTCCAGGTGGGTGCTGGTGGCTCTGAAGGTCATGATAGTGAAGGAAAAGCAATAGCAATAAACATTTTATAGACTCATGGAACTGAAGGGACCTCAGCAATCATCTCATCCATTCCCTGTTTGACAGATGAGGGAACTGAGGCCCAGAAAGGAGGAAAGGACTTCCCTAGATCTCACAGTAAATTAGCATTAAATGCGGCCTTGCTACCCAGGGCCATGTTGCCTACAAAAATTTACCTAGGAATGGATTAGCTTGGTTTTAAAAAAATTAAGTCAGCAGTGCCCACACCTGGCAGACTCTGGAACAGTCTCTGGGCTTTTGTTTCTGCTCTTTTCCTTCATGGACTCCGAAGGCAGGGGCTGAAGACTGGGCGGAGGCCACATGGGGGCAGATGACAGGAACAGAAAATGCAAACGAAGAAATAGCATTTGGAAATTCTGTGAAGACATCTGCAACGTTTGTCCTATACCTGACTCCAACCCTAGGAGAGGGAGCAAGTGGGCTGAAAAGGAGAGGCCATGATTTTAGGACACTATCCCCTCATTCTGAGAGGAGAGGAAGAGGAGCTTCCTGAGAGGAGAGTGGGAACCATCAGGAAAGGAGGACGAGGATGAGGCCCAGGAGACTTAGGCTCATCTGGGAGAAGAGGTGCCCCAGGGACGAGGGGCCCCTTCTAGTCTCAGCCAGGAGCCTGGATTGCCCAGCATTGCTCTCTTGCCCTCCAGTGCTTGGCTGGGCCAGCAGCCCCTCTAGGGTGGAGCAGGAACCTGGCATTTTACTGTACAAAATGGGATCATTGAGAACATTTCAGACTTTTAAGTTTCTATTTTTATTTTAAATTGGTGCAAACTTGGATAGTCCCCCACCCCTACCTCCCATGTCTCCCTAAGGAGGAAAAAATTAGGACAAACCCATGGGCTGGAAGGACCTCAGAAGCTGTCCAGCCCTTCCCAGGAGGGCAAAAGCCCATCAGTATCCTTGGCCCAGAGCCAGTTTGGGGGCTCACCCTCCTGGCCTTGCAGGGATCTTCAGGACCAGTAAGGAAAAATCCAACTGTTCTAAATGGTCTGTTTAGTTCTGGGATGCTGAAGAGCTTTGGTTTTGAAACAACAAAGTTTTCCAGTGTTAATCCATTTTTTGCAAATACCTCCTCCCATCTGCCTTGGTTTTGTAAGGGTGGGTGAAGGTTATTTTAGATTATGTCATATGTGTTTAAAAAATGCCAGAATAATACTGATAATAGTAATAGGAAACCTTTGCATTTGTCAGGTGCTTCATAAATTTCAAAGGACTTCACAGCCTTTAATTTACTAGCCCTGAGAGAGAGACAGGGTCAGAGTTATTACACCCATTAGACAATTGAGGAAACCCAGGTTATAAAAGGAAAAGGAACTTGCTCAAAGCGAGCAGAATGCTGGTATCCTGACAGACTTCCCAAACCCTGCTGCCTCCAAGTGGGCTTGGGTGGAACCATGGGGTGTGTGTGTTGGGGGGGGGGGGGGCGGGACCTAGAAATGACCTTGTCACTTTGCTCTTTCTATGAGTAAGTAAAAGTCCAACATCTCGTACCTCACAGTTCACACAGCAGTTTCACATACTTTCTCAGGTTTAATCCTTCCAACAACCTGTGAGATAGAGATTATTCCTCCTATTTGATCCGTGAGGAAACTGAGGCTCAGAAAGGTAAATTGACTTGCTAATAATCAGCAGAGCCACTTGAATCCCAGCCTGTCTGCTGTTTCTTTGCCTTCCACTCTGACTCCACACACAGGCTCACGTACTCAAGCGTCTATGCTCCGCACCCTGTCGTAGCCCCTAGTATGTAATTCAAGATCAAAGAGAGGGCCCAAGACAAAAAGAAGGCACTGAAAGGCGGTGGTCTGGAAGAGCCCAGGCTCAGCATTCCTTTTTCAGTGTGAGCTCACAGTTTAGCTGGCTCACCCTCTTGCCTTGACTGAGATCCACAAGCCTGGCCAAGCTTGGGGAGTCATTGCATAGGGACTGAGCCCAGGAGAACAGGGGTAGTAGTGTGCCCCCAGTAAGGTCACAGCTGCCTGTTGGGAGGTACCATAGCCATCATCCAAAGATTCTAGATAGCCCAGTGGTCAGGCTGGACAGAAGGTCAGAGCTGGAAGGCCCTCTCTTTGTAGGAAGGTGCAGGCAAGCCAAGAGGGCATGTCCACATGACATTTTGAGCTGCTGAGCTGGACCAGCATGCAAACCCCTGTCTCTATCCCACTTCACTACTTCTCCCATGTGCCATAAGCATGGTGGCCAGGTTCAGAGGTGAAGGTGGTTTCAGTTACCAGATCCTCTTGGCTTCCCCCACTTCTACCTGATACCCTCTCTTTACAAGCCTGGGGCCAAAGAAGTTTGAGTCTGGAAGCTGGACTGTCCCTAGGTGGTAAAAGCCTGAAACAATCTTTTGCCGCATTTTGGGGGGGAGGTGGGGAGCATATTTAATTTCTTGCCCACGACACAGGACAGTTGCTGCTCCTTCTCTCACTCTTGGCAGTGACTCTGCAGTATATCTCCTTTCCCAGACACAGTTATTCTGTATTGTATTCAGCAGGGACACAGACACACATATCTGTCCAGAGCTTTCTTGGTGTACAAAGTACTTTGACATTGATTGCCAAAATCCCCGTTTTATATATGAAAAAACTAAGGCTTAGAAGGCTTAGGAGACTTGCCAGAGGTTACTCAGCTTTAAATGAATGCCAAGATTTGAACTCTTCAGTCCGCTGCTCTTTTGCTGGCACCTGCTGGGTGTCTGAGTGGCAGGCCTGAAGAAGGGATGGGCTACGTATCTGTGCCAGAGTAGAGGAAGGCTCAATGGAAGGCTTGGGAAGCTTAATCCTTCTAACTGAGCAGATTTTTGTGAGCTTTTGCTTTGGGCCACAGCCTGTGAGGAACCCTGGGAATATATCCAGCTAGCAGCACAGGGAGGATGAGAATTGGCAACAAAAGGCCTAACTTGAATAAAACACTTTGGGGTCATGATGCTCAGGACTGAAAACACATTCAGTGGCAGCCTGAGGCATCCTTTCCATTGAAAGACCCATGTACCTGGGACGCCTGCGCACCCTTGCTTTCTGACCCGGAGAGCCTGGCCACTGCCCAGATCCAGTGGACTGGAAATTCAAGGGGACCTGGTGTGGTGCCGAATAGCCAGAAGCATTCTGGACTAAAGTCCCTAGGCTTGTCCCTAGGCTTGCTTTTCCCATGGACAAGAACGAGGACCTAGAGAGACAATGAATAAGTAGGCTTCATGCATCCCTACCCAACCCTTTCCCTGGCTTCACCCAAATTGTTCCCTGTTTAAGGTGTTTTACTCCCGGAGATCTGCAGGGACTTCTTTGGAGTGGCTTACTTTGTCCTGAGGGGCCTTCAGAAATCAATCACATGGAGCATCATAAAAGTATGACAGGCCAAGATCTGGTGTCCCCATCGTGCAGACAAGACACAGGCCATATCCAGGGTCCCAGCAAGGCACTGTTTGAGCCAAGACTAGAGCCAGCATATCAAATTCCATTGGTTCTGCTCTGTGACAAGAGAGGGAGGGCCCAGAGGGGACAGGTCCCACTCCGGGCCTTGTGGTCTTAATCACAGCATTCTGGCTAGATCAGTCATTCAGATCTCACCACAGCATTTATGCTTCTCAATTGGAGTGACAGTATGTGGAAGCTCTGCTTTGACATCCTGTATGCCACCACATCAGTAAAAAACCCCTTGGCCGTCAAGTTGATTCTGACTCATAGCAACCCTATATAGGACAGAGTAGAACGGCCCCATAGGGTTTCCAAGGAGTGGCCAGTGGATTCCAACGGCTGACCTTTTGCTTAGCAGCTGAGCTCTTAAACAGTATGCCACCAGGGCTCCACCACATCACTACAGGGTGTAAGAGGAGCAGGTCAGGTAGTGGGCAAATAGGTAGCAGGCTCTATGCCAGTGTGCAGCCCCAGGAAGTTCAGACCTGACCCACCTTGGAAGGCAGTATCGCAGTGGAAGGAAGCCAGCTAGGCTAACTGATCAAATTCAACACCTGCGCCTCTGAGAGCTCAGGCTTCTATAGGCATGCCATGCTAGCTGCTGGATTTGTCCTTTACCTGTCCATGTCCCCCTCTCCTACAAAACTCCTTATTTTTGAAATGAGGCATTACATGGTTCTAGGGCCCAGCCTTCAAAATTCCTGGCAGACCAGCTTCAACATTCCACAGGCCAACCTTGCCTGAAGCCAACTTGAGTTCCTCTCCCTCGATTTCTTCAGTGAGTATTTGCTATCTTGCATGCTGTGGAGTTGAGCCCAGGAGTTGGATCTGGCTACCACAAAACCAGAAAGGGAAGCTACAGCACTCACTTCCCTGTGGCTGTATTCACAGTCCCTGGGTGTCCTTGCTGTGGCAGTGAGGCCCTATATCATTCCAGCCCCTGGTAGAGGGGTGTTTTCCTTCCTGAAAGGAAGTACCTTGCAGAGAAGTACCAGGAGTCAAATGGGTGAAATCAGCTTTGGGTCTGATCCCAGCAAGACCAGCATCTCCAGGCTCCAGACTTTCTCCTCATGCCTAGAGTCTGTGAATATGGGACTGGCCCAGAGACCTCCTTTGGGTCAACCAGATTATCTGGATCTATGGTGTGACTCCTTACTAAAGGGGAGGTAAGGCCAGGCCTGTAGCAACTTGTAGTTGTCCTATGATAACCTTTAAAGGTCCAAGGGCCTGTCCCCATCTCCTGACTTCAAGGCTTCTGCATCCTTGTTTCATATGTGACAGAGAAACCTATTCTCATGGCATGTAACATCCCTGTGAGAGAGCATTGTATATGATTTTGTATTTTTTAATTCATTTTAATCTACAGGTTGGAGTCTAATTTTTAAATTTTATTGGAACTCACATTTTAAAAAACAAATAAAAGCATTTAAAATAATAACAAACTTTTGACCGGTGTCTTCCAAGTAGTTTGATGAAAAAAATTATAGGTGTTTTTAAAACACAGCCTGGAGTGTAAAGATTGGAAAGCCCCATGGCCTCACTGTGTGTATGAAGTGTAAATCTGGTTTTGTTTTGTTTTGGATTCTTTTGGGTTTTTGTTCTGTTTTGTTTTGAAGATCAGATAGTGATCACTCTGAAAGATTGAAGCCAAGAATTTGTAACTATGATATTTACTGTAAGCTGTAGAACGTTCAATAACTATTAAAAAAGTTTCCAAAAAAAAAAAAGTCCTAGGTGACCAGACTGAGTGGTTCTTGGGGGATGGGGGCTACAGAACGAGTTTTCTGGGCTTTCTCCCCAGTTGATTCTAAACTTTTCTCCCATCAAGAAATACCTGATACGTCTCATAGTGGATGTGGCATCAGGTCTCACAGTTGAGAGGGAGATATGAAGTGGCAGTTTCGGCACCCTGGACCAAGCTGTGTGATACGGGAGCCCAGTGAGGCCATTAATGGTTAAGAGCTGACACTGTGGCTGGCGCTGCTTACTTCATGCTTGTTAACTCTATTCCTCACAACACTGTGAGGACAGCCCTGTTAGCCCCACATTTTCCTGCCCATCCGGAGGAGGCAATACCTGAGCTTTCTTAAAGGGTAGATGTGCCAGATGGGAAACTGAGGGAGGGACGTGGTAGTTTGAGTTACAGGAGGAGATTGACGGTGATCATGTGGCCTCCATCCAAACAGACATCAGGTGCTGTCAGTTTTATTTCCTAAATCTTTTAACTCTCTTCTGGGTAAAGCCACTGCCCTAGTCCAGGCCTGGGCTTCTTCTCTGGGTCATCATGTCCCTCAGTCCTTCCCAGGACCTGGCCCTCTACGGATTATGCTCCACGCTACGGCCAGAGCCCTAGTTTCAAGCCCCTTCTTCACTCCACCAGTTCATGGCTGTGCCTCTAAGTAATTCAGCCTCCTCAACTGGGGTGAAAACAGGCCTAGAGAGGCTAAACGACTTGGCTCACACTACCAAACCAAAAGCTAAACCAGTTGCCATCAAGTTGATTCCGACTCATGGTGACCCCACGTGTTGCAGAGTAGAACTGCACCATAGGGTTTTCAAGGCTGTGACCTTTCAGAAGCAGATCACAATTCTGAGGCGTCTCTGAGTGGGTTCGAATCACCAACCTTTCTGTTAGTAGTCTAGTGCTTAACCAGTTCACACTATACCTGTAATTAAAACTCAGGACTTCCTGCCAAACCTCACCCTGTGCCTCTGCAACCCTCTCCCCAGTCTTCCCTCCTGTCCTTGACCTGACTCATTCTCCCACCCAAAGGGCAGAAAGCACTATCATGGAGGGCACCTCTGGCCACAGGCACTGCCTGGGCTGTGTTATAGCACACAGGGCAGGATGGGACTTTTTCCCGGGAGCTCAGCTCCAGGTCACATTGACAGGGCTGAGGACCAGGAGCAGGCAGGGAGGCTGAGACCTGGGCCACTGTTCTAGCTTGTGGGGGAGGAGTGCAGGAATGAGGCTGGGTCACACTCATCAGAACTTTCCCTGACTCCAGCTCCCTCACCTGCTGGTATAGAGGGGGCAAGCCTGGGAAGGTGAGAGCCAGTAGGGCTTCCAGATGAAGGTGAGGGTGGAGGCCCTGAGGCCCAAGGGCATCGTACATATGTACATCATACATCCTACTCTTTTGGGAGCTGGCCTCAACACCCTCAAGAGACAGGTGAAGACACTGAGGGAAGGGTCATATGTTTCTCATCAACCCCACCCTTCCAAGCAGAAAATTGGGGCAGGCATGGTCTGGAGGGGAGCATGGTGCTTACCCTGGGGCCCAGCACTGGGATGGGGGTGTTCCTTACCTGGAAGTCTTCACCATGGCTGGCATTTTTTTGTGGCTCACTCCAGGCTGGGTGGGCAGATTGGGGAGAGGGCACCTGGAGGCCACAGTCTAGCCTTCCCATGGGGAAGGAGGCTGAGGCCAGAGAGTGGATGGGGTCCAGCCTCCTGCCCTACTCAACAAGTGCTGTCTCATCCCCCTCCCCGCCCCAGAGCGGGTGGTGTGTCATCCCAGCCTGGGCTAAAGCAGGGTTAATTGACTGAGGGGACAGCCACATTTGAAATGCCAAACCTTGAGATGCAGCTGCACAGCTGGCAAAGAGGGATACCAAGTGCACCCTGACGGCCCTAGGGAGCATTTCCTTGGGTGCACTGGTGACACCCACTTAAAAAAAAAAAAAAGTTGCCATCAAGTCAATTCCAACTCACAGTGACCCTATAGGACAGAGTAGAACTGCCCCATAGGGTTACCAAAGAGCAGCTGCTGACCTTTTGGTTAGCAGCCGAATGCTTAATCACTGCGCCACCAGGGCTCTGTTGACACCCACTAGTTGCCTAAAAACGGACACCTTGTTCTAGACCTTGGCAATCTTTGCTGCTCCAGAAAATTCCTCTTGGTGTCTAACCTGCCTCCTTGTCTAATTCCCCTCCTTCCCCCACCCTCTCCTAGTGCAGGTGAAGCTCTGTCTCTGGTGTCCTCAGGTGCCTCTCTCCGTTTCCTGCCCAGGCAAGAAGCCCCAGACACGAGCCTGTGTCCACATACCCTGGGGGGAGGTCAAATCTCAAAGTCTGTCTGCTCAGCCCAGGGTGGGAGCGTCCTCCAGCAGCTGCTAGGCCAGGCCCCCACCTCAGCTTCTGCTCTGGAGAAGCCAGGCCTCCCTCCTCCAGTCCCAGCATGGCCGCCCTTCAGCCCCAGTCCTGGGACTCCCCATGGGCTGTCCCTCCTTACACCTTCCCAGGTTCCATCAAGTGCGGCTTTCTTCCTAGTTCTTCAGCCTCCCCCGCATTAGCATTTAAATGTGTGCCCCTCTTCCACCTTTAAAAAACATACCAAACAACAGCAACAAGATTAATTAAACCTGTAGAGTGAGTTAAATTTAAATTACCTTTTGAGGAAAGAACCCTATCCCAGATCCATGAACTTTCTATGTGTGGATCTTACTTTGGTGGAAAATAAAATTCCATTGATTTATCAAATTCAAAAAAAAAAAAAAAATTAACCAAACTGAAAATTAACTTACTCTCTCCAGTAAAGCCTTACCAGTCATGCCTGGTTCTGCAGGGAGCTGTCTACATGATGGCACTGGCCCCATTTCCTCTCTGCCGTCTCCCTCAATTCACTGGGACTTGGCCCTGCCCTCACCACTCCCTTGAGGTGACTCCCACCCAAGTCCTTGTGTTGATTAACTCAGGGAATGCTGCAGTCCTGACTGCCCAACAGCACCTGGCCTTGTGGCCTACTCCTGCCCCCATACTCATCCTTGCCTGGTTTTCTTCCCAACTCCCTGGCAGTGCTCTCTCTGACATTCCACTGGAGTAGCCAGGGATCTTCCCTGGGCCTTATCCTGGGACATGCCCCCTACTTCCTAGCCCAGTCCTGGCATAAATACCCACCTGAGTGCTTCTAATTAGTCTTGTAGCCCAAGTTCGTCTCCAGAGAGCTTTAGGCTTTCACATCCAGATACCTCAGGACCTCCCACAGGGCTGTTTCACAGGCCCTGACTCACCCTGCTACCCTCAGGACTGTTACTTCTGTTTCCCCACCCAACTGGCCCAACTGCCCCTCATCCCTTGAGCCACATCCCACTACCGAGTCCTAGCAGTTCTGTCCTGGAAATCTTTTGAGTCCATCTGTTTCTTTCCACCACGCAGCCCGACCGCCATCGTCTCTTGCCTAGATGGCTGCATCAGCTTCCTTGTGGTACCCCTGCTCCTCCTCTTCCGCCCATTCTTCACACTGTGGCCAAGAGTGAGCTGATGTAGCATGCTTTCCCCTTCCTAAGCCTTTTAGAGCCTCCTTGGCACCCTTGGTGCAAGGCCAATGGCTTCCCAGAGCCCACGTGGCTGGCCTGCTGCTGCTCCCTGGCTTGGGTCTCCATGCCCCAGTCACACTGTACTTCTTCCAATTTCTCCAGCACTTCATGTGTCTTTTGATCCCTCGCCTTTCCTCGTGCTGTTCCCTCTGCCTAGAACACATTCCCACCTCCCACATTCTCAAGCCCCCAATATGTCTTGCTTACCCCCAGTCATCCTCCAGGCTTCACATGACTCACTTTCTCTAGAGCCGTACTGTCCAATATGGTGGTCACTAGCCACGTGTGGTTTTTGAGCGCTTGAAATATGCTAGCTCATATTGAGATGTGCTTTAAGTGTAAAATACACACTAGGTTTTACCAAAAAGAATGTAAAAGGGGTTATTAATAATTTTAAAATTGATTTTATGTTGAAGTGAAAATATTTTAGATATTATTGGGTCAAATAAAGTATGTTACTACTGTAATTAAAATTAAGTTCACCTGTTTCTTTTTGGCGTCCCTGGGTGCTGCAAAAGATTAATGTTCTTGGCTGCTAACTGAAAGGTTGGAGGTGCGAGTCCACCCAGAGGCGCCTCAGAAGAAGAGCCTGGAGACAAGTCAGCCATTAAAAACTCTATGGGGCACAGTTCTACTCTGACACATAGGGGGTGGCCATGGGTTGGAATCAACTTGACGGCAACTGGTTAGTGGTCTTTCTTTGTACTTTTAAAAAAATGTGGCTACTAGAACATTTTAAATGTGTATGGGGCTCACATTCTATTTCTGTGGCCAGCACTGCCTTCAGACACTTCAGTGAGACCCAGGTGAGGTTAGGGGCCTCCTCAGGAGCCCCTGCTTCACTGATGCCAGGTCACCACCTGCCAGGGAGCAGGCCCTGGGAGGGAGAGATGGTCTGCCTGGCACACGGTGCCCAACCCAGCGCAGCACTCAAGAGCAGTGTGCTGAATGGACAGACGACCTGGGGAGGCAGCAGGAAAAGAAGCTCCTCACAACACCACTCTCCCACCTTTTATTATTCAATAAATGGATGGGGATGTGAGGGTAGGACAACAGCAAAGTTTCAATAAATAAAAGAAATGGGGTCGGGGCAGTGGGCCCGCGCCTGCACGGCACCACATAAATAACCAGGTTGCTGAGCAGAGTTGGGGGATAGGTGCTGGGCCAGGCAGTCACCCGTGCTGCCTGGGGCTGGAGGACAGATGCACCAACACCACAGGGACACAGGAACCACTGAGGCCAGAGGCGCCTCTCTAGCCCCATCCCCCCATCCCCCAAGCTCCTGAGATCTTGCGGGAGGGGGCAGCTGGGCAGGCTGGGGCTCATGCACCACAGCCCTGCCCAGGTCAAGTCTGTTTTTCCATTTTCATTAAAAACAGTGGGGAGAGGGGCATGCACATGCATTAAGCCCCTTCTGTAGGTAGAGCATGGATGAATAGCCCCATGGGGGCCTTGAAGGCGGAAGCCCCAGCAGTAGCAAAACGGGGCCAGGTAAAGCTACTAATGGGAGGGGGTGGCACAGAGTCAGGCTCATCCCCCACACTGGACCCAGCCCAGAACCTGCAAGGAGCTGGAGAGGCCTTGGGCACCAAGACGTCCTTTTCTCCCCACTTCACAGTCAAAAAGCTGGGACCCAGCGATGGACAGGGACTTTTCAGGATTAGAACCCAGGAATTTAGCCCCCAGCCCAGGGCTTTTTGGTGCCCCTTCCCTTTACAGGACCTGCTGGAGGAAGAGGTGCCTCTGCTCTGGGGCCCTGTACAGAAGCAGGGATGGGGCCAGGGGTGCCCAGCAGAGGGTCCGTCCCTTCCACCAAAGTTACGCTACCTGCTGGTACAGAGAATCCTGCAGGCTCCTAGGATCTGGCCAGGGCAGGTGTAGCGGCATCCTGCAGGGGAGAAACGGGGGCAGCAGGGGCCTGGGGTGGGCTCTCGCTCTGCTCCTGCACAGTGCCTGCCAGCTGGCCTGCCTCCCCACTAGGTGGACGGTCCCACTTCCAGGTCTTGGCTTCTGCTGTTCTGTCCACTGGGCCACTGCTTCTTGGTCCTCACAGGCCCAGTTGCAGCTCTACCTCCTTCAGGAAGCCACTGGAACCTCCCAGAGCTGGGCTGCAGTGTCCTCAGACTAGACAGCCCTTCAGATGACCAGGTTGCTCTCACTTAGCCGGACCACATAGCGGCTCTCCTGGGGGAGAGGTGAGGGTCAGAGCTGAGTCGGGGGCCTTCTGGGCTCCAGGTGCCCCTGCCCAGGGCCCCCTGCACCCTACACCTCCCCTGTCTTTGGTAAGGGTTGGACCATGCGCCCACAGACACCTCCCCTCTCTGGCCCTCACCTCAGCCTTCTTCTCCAGTGGGGGCTTCAGCCACTTGGTGTGGTTTGTGCCGCTGCTCAGCAGTGCCCGCTGCTCAGCGGGGAGGCCAGGTTGTGAGGAATCAGGGAAATCACCCCCTGAGGGCCCAGCCTCTGTGATGGTCTTCACCTCAGATGCTGCTGAACTTGTCCGCTGCTCAGGAATTCGAGCCACACGGAACCTATGAGGAGAGGTGGTGCAATCCTCCCGTTAGAGGTGGGGAATGGCAGACGCAGTGAGGGCAGCACCTGCCCAGGGTCACACAGCAAGTTTATGGGTCAAATCCTGAACCTGTCAACACCTGAGCCCGAGCCCTTCTCAGCGCCCTCCCACCTGCAGATGAAGCGTTCTCTCTGTACCCAGCTCCTGGGCACCCAAGCCCTAGATTGCAGGTAGACTGTCCCTTGCCCTCAGGGGCCCCAGGTGCAGTGGGGATCAAGATCCTGCCTGCCTTGAGGACCCAATGGCTCCAAATGAGACAGAGCATGCTGGGAGGTCTGGACTTCTCTCTGGCCACCCCCACTGCTCAGAGAGTCACACTGAAGCACAGGAAGGGGTGTCCACTGATGAGCAGGGTGTTTAGGGTTGACCCAGGGCCCTGCCTCCCCACCCAGCTGTCGTGTCTCTCCCTGACCCTGCAGTCTCTGTGCCTGCCTCACCTGCCCACAGACAGGATGGTGATCTCCCCCTGGCGTCCTGTCTTGGCCCCGGCCTTAGGAGCCCGGGCTGAGCTGGGCAGGAAGCTGGGAGCAGGAGTGATGGCTGCTGCAGCCTCAGGGGACAGCAGCACCTCGGGCCACTTCTTCTGGCTACATCGGGAGCAGCAGGAACCAGAGAGTGAGGCCAGGCCCTGCACAGTGTGGAGGTGGTGGCGATGTGGGCAGATGTGTGGCATGCTGGGGGTGCCTGGTGGCAGCCTGCAAAAAAACACACGTGGGAACCCAGGGCCAGGAGACCCCAGGAGGTGGAGGAGGGGCATCAGAGTGACAGGAGAGGGAAAATACCCGGGTGGGGAGTCCTCAGGAGGCAGGCTGATCATCGGTGTGTTTTGGCCTCCCTCTTGCCCCACCTGACCACTCACCTGGGCACAGGCCCATGGTTTGTCTGCACCAGCTGTTTGCTGTGATACTCCTTCAGCAGCTCCTCCAGGGCCGCCGCGTTCTCTGTGGGCAGCTGCAGTCAGAGCCCAGCTCTGGCCATGAGGGGCAGTGCCCCACTCCCAGTGCAGGCCTCCCCTACCTACTACCCACCACCCCCAACCTGGGCTGTGTGCCTCTTCCTCCACCCTCATCAGGCAAGAACAGGAGGAAAGGGGCCTGCACTGTCAGCTGTACTCAGTCAGGAGGGCCAGGCTGGCCCAAGGCATCACAGAGGAGTGGGGCAAAGCAGGGCTGCCTCACAGGCTCTGGGAGGAGACCCTCCTCTCCAGGGCACTGGGGCAGGTCGGACAATCCCCTCACCTTTCTTCTCTGTGATTAGGCGCACCAGGACCCCGATGGTGTCCTCGTTGGCATCCTCGGTCCGGTAGGCAGGGTTGATACCTGGGGAAGAGAGCAGAAGTACCATGATCTCAGGAAGTCTGAGGGGGTACTACAGGCTCGGGAGCTATGCCAGGATCTGCCAGCAGAGGGCGCCCCAGACCAGATTCACAGCAGCCAAGGCCATGCGTGCATGTGCCTCTGTGCGTTTAGGTGGCAGGGGTCCCCAGAGACCTGCACACGTGGGACTCTTGGCCTCAGCCTTGGTTCACAGAAGCTCATGATCAACTTTACAACCCAGCATCGCCACTTCCTGCACCCAAAAATCCCAGATACTTAGAGGTTTTGGGGGCTATCTGAACTCCTGGGTCCCTGCAGAGTGAGGCGAGCCTTCAGCCTCTTCTGGGCCTGCCCTCTCCCTTCCTCAGCCTCAGGAAGCTGTGGGCTGCCTCCCTGCCCAGAGCCCCCATCTCCAGCACACACAGCCATTCCAGGCCTACTGCCTCCTGCACATCACCCTGTCTATATAACTATTTAACTGAGAGCCCTTGATCAGCGTGGGCCAAAGCCTCAAGGGTGTGAGAACGGAGCCACTGTGATCAGTCTTGGGGCCAGCAGCAAACAGCTCCTAGGACTTCCACCCAGACAGCAGCTAGCAGTTAAACGGAAGTCACTAGATTAGGAAAACAAGTGCCGTCCTAGGTACAATGACCCTGAGTTGCCATCTTTCTGCCTGCCTGCCCCCTCCAGACTTCAGTGTCAGGAGTTGAGAGGGGCTTGGGCAAGCCCCCAGGCAGCCTGGGGAGCTGGCATGGGAGATGCTATTTCAATTTTGACTCTGCCACAGGCTCCTGTGGGCCCAGAGCAGTATATGTGCATGTGGGGGCACCCTGTCCTACTGGTCTTCAGGGAGAGGGGGAAAGGTGGCAGCATCCCAGGGTAGGAAGGAGGAATGTGCCTCTCCTTCTGGCTCCAGGACTTGTAACTCAAACCACAGCCTGGAGCTGAAACTTGAGCCCCTCTCAGTGCCTGCTCCTGACACTGGGAATTCCGCCTGCTCCAGGCCAGAGGTTGCACTGAATACGAAGGAGGCAGTCTGACCCTTGAGCCACACATACAACTGGAGCCCCCAAGGAGTCCAGAACTCTTCAGGTGGACAGGGCCTCACCCAGGGCGAGAATCCTGCTGAAGCCACTTGACCAGCTGTTCTGCCTCTGCTCTGCTCCCGTTACACCTCAGGCCACCTTGTCCTTCTGTCCCCTTTGTAGTCTGCAGCTGTCACCCCTGTGGCCCCAAGTGTAGCACCCCCAGGAAGCTCTCCTGATTAGCCCTCTCCCTGGCAGAGGTAGGTTCCCTCTGGGAGCCCCCGAACTGGGCTGGGGCTGTGCTAGCCCATGTCCTTTGGCCTCCCCACCCAGACCCCAGGCTGGGGCTCACCGCTGCCTCCGCCTCCGGGGCCAGGCCCGACCTCCTTGTGGGCTGTGCAGTGGTAGCCCTTCCGCTTGAGCAGGTTACACACCAGGATGCCCAGCAGCCCCATGAGGCAGAAGACGGGCACGATGGCGACCACCGCATACTGTGCAGCTGTCTCCTCGGGGCTGCCCGCCCGCGTGCCGTTCCCAGACTGCCGGGTCTCCCCACTGCTGCCGGCCCCTGCTGCCACCTCCACACCACGCCGGGCCCGACGCCCCCACACTGAGCACCACGGAGGACGGGGGCAAGAAAAGGCAGAGGCAGAAAGAAACACACATTCAGAGAGGCAGAGAGGGTGTATGGAGGTAGTGGTAGAGGACTGAGGTGTCCAGAGCAGCCCACTCCCCGCCACACTGGGGAAGCAAAGGCCAGTTCACCCCCTTTCCCTCCCGGAGCAGATTAACCAGTCAGCAAGGTATGCACAGGCTTACTTGTGTTTACTTAACTAATCTGTGGTGTACAGTTTCACATGGGTTGTGAAATTGTACACTACAGATTAGTAAGTAAGCACAAGTAAGCCCCTGCATACCTTGCTAATTACTGGGTAATCTGTCCCTGCCCCCTCCTTTCGGCCATCTGATCCGTCAGCCTGAGCAAGGCCTCTGTCTTGCTGCTTACTGCAGCCTCTTCTGGACAGCCAGCCCCTTAGTCCCCTGTCCACCCATCATCTTGGGGACAGAGGGGTGAGCAGAAGGCACACACAGCACACGCGTGGACACAGGGACCTAGGATGGGCCACCCCATGACTCAGTCCGTGGATTAGTTGCCTCAGAAAATGACTGATCCAATGGGTGAGCGGAGGTGTGTGCACATGTGCGAGTTTTTGCATGTGCACCTTTGTGTGTGTGCACGTGTGCAAGTGTGTGCATGTGCGTGTGCTCACTCATCTGCACGGGTCTCTGAGGGGTTGGGGAGGGGGCTGGTCAGGATATGAGCCCACCAGCTCCAGGTGCCCAATCCCCAACCCCCATGCTGTGTGGGTCCAGCTGTGGCTGCCACTTGCTGAGCAGTCTCTGCTACTCAGAAACCAGGTGGGCAGACACACAGAGCCAGTGGCCACGTCCCACGGGTGTGCTCCTTCCCTAGGCCACCACAGTGAGAACCCCTCTGTCCCTAAACGATCACTGCAGGGGCTCCTGGGCTCAAGCTCGTCCCTCCCACACACGCCACCCCACCAGTCCTAGCCCCAAACTGCCACTCACCATTACAGCTGCGAGTACCCGGAGGTGCCCAGGAGCAGGGCTGACATGGAACGTGGGGGGCCCCCTCAGGAGCAAACCACCTGCAGGGAGGGAAAATGTTACTGGTTCCCCAAAATCTATCCTTAAGAGAGGCTGGACTCCTACCCAGTCACCCTCCTTGATACTGACCAATCCCAGTTAGCAGATGGGGAGACTGAGGCCTACGCGGGGTGGGGGTGACCCAGGGTCCTCGTCACGCAGCCATGAGCCCCACACCCCACCCATGGCTCACCCAGGCTGGCAGCCTCCACACAGTGTATCTCGAGTCGCCGAACCCGCCTGGGCCTCCAGCCTCCCTCGAGGGCTGCAGCAGGTGTGGGGTTGGCATGGGCTGGGGCCCCATGAGGCTGAGAATGTGCCTGGGGGGCAGGACCTGCACAACGTACCCTGCCCCAGGTCCTGTGGGGGGAAAGGGGAAGAACAGAGCCAGGAGCCGGGACTGAGGTCACTGGGGAAGCCAGGCCTAGTGGCTCCTCCACTTGTCCCCAACAGCCTTCCCAGGACTAGGCGATGGGAATGGACTAGGGCAGTGCTTACCAGGCTGGGCTCCTCCCCAGGCGGGCACTGCCAAGGTATCGTCGATGCTGGAGTGGATGGAGGCCAGGGCAGCAGCTGTAAGAACAGTGGGTAAGAGGGCGTTGAGGGCGGCAGAAAGCACCAGAGCATGGGATCTCTGGGGTCATCCATCCACAACCCACTTCCCTGAGGCCTCCGGAGGGGGACAACTGACCACACAGGGCCACCCCATCCAGGCTCCAGGGACACTCTTCTAACCCTAAACCTCATGCTGCATGTGAAAACTGTCCTGCCCCACGCCTGTTGCATCGCCACCCACATGGGCAGGGAGAAACCACATCTGCTTCCGGCAAGTGCTGGAAAGCCCCAGCCAGGGCTGGATCAGGATCTCAAGCTCTTGGGTCTCTGAGTCACAACCTCTCCAGCTAGCCAGGAGGATGAGGAGGAAATGCTTCCGAATTCCTCTCTCAAATTCCGCCCCTCTTCCTGTTGCCTTGGTTGCCTTCCACCACCATCACAGCTGGACATGTCATTAACTGGCTTCTGCTTATCCTCCCCGGGGCCAAGTCTGCAGCTGATGCTTCCTATTCCAGTCTCTCTGCGTCTTCACATCCTCCTCCATGACCTCCCACCACGCAAGGCCACCCTGCTTACACCCCTGCACCGAAACAGGGCAGGGTACATCCCAAAAGAATGTGACCCCTCCCCCAGCCCATTCCACTGGGACAGGAGCTCCCTCTGCCTCCCATTTTCAGGTGTGACCTGTCTCCCTTAATCCCTTCTGCTGTGGGGAGACCCCCATCGTCTCTGGTTTGGCTGGTGCTGGCTTGGGGGCGGGGGGTACAGAGCAGTGCAAGCCACTCTTAAGGGCAGAGGAAATGCCACACGAGGCTCTGGGGACTTCCTCCTTCCCCAGACCTGGCTCCCAGCACCTGCTGGACCCTGGAGACCTCCTGCACTGGAGCAGCCAGGACTGAAGCCACGTCTTGCTCTCGCTGGGTTTCCAGTATCACAGCAGAAAAACGGCCCCCCCAGACCAGACTCTAAGTTACCGCCTGAGGCTACAAGTCTGTAACCGAGTCCCATGAGGCTCTGGGCAGTTGGCCAGTCTCTGATTCTGGGATCTGGACTCTGGGGTCCCCGTATCTGAGGTGCTAAGGTTCTCAGGCTCTAAATCCCAGGCCTCTTCTGCCCGATTTCCTCTTTTCCTGGCCCATCCTCCTTGCTGCTCTGTTCCCACGCCTAGCATCTTGCCCTCAGCCATGCTGGCCTGTCTACAAATGCCAGCAAGTCCTGCCTTCTCCCTCCCCGCAGGGTAGACCAGGGGGGTGTCCAAAGGTTGGACTGCCTCAGACTCTTCAAAGGAAGAGCTGACTACCCAGCACCACCCAACCATGGGTTCCTCCCTGGAGGGCTGGGGTGCAGGGCTCAGGACTCAGCTCCTCAGCTCCCCATGGTCCCATCCCCAGCTCACCACAAGGAAGCAGGACAGGGACCAGTGCAGGGGGCTCAGCTTCATCATCAGGCCCAGGGCGGTCGCCAGCCTAGAGCAGATGGAAGGAGGCTCAGTGGAGGGCAGGAGGAGGCCAACAGGGCTGCACGGGGGCTTGCAAGGTGCTGCAGGGGAGGCTGAGCACTGGGCAACTCAGCCTACACCACCTGCTGAAGCCTGGGTAGAAGTGGGGGTGCCCTGTGAGGGGCCAGGAAGGGGAGGCAGAGGCTCTGCCAGGCTTGTGAGGCTTCCCAGAGGAAGGGCTTCTTCCTCTTCCATAAACAGCCAGGTGCCCTGGACCATCGCCAGGGGAGCCTGTGAGGCAGGAAGCCTGAGGTGGCCTTTGGGGGAGAAGGGGACTGAAGGGGCTGGCACCCCTCCCCCAGCCTCTCCACCCTCATCTCCAACTCTCCAGACTCTTGCCACCCAGAACTGCTTATAGGTCCCCAAGCATGCCGGCTCTCTGTCCTCACTCTTGCCATTTCTGCTCCAAGGAAGACCCTTTCCCCAACGCTTCAAATTCCAGTACAAAGACCTTTTTCCAGAAGCTTCCTTAGACCTCACCTTTCCCCAAAGCTAGGTCAGGGCCTTCTCTTGCCCCCAGAGCTCCTGTGTGTGCCTCACTCCTACCCCATCACATTCCTAGTCTTTCCACGTGGCCATGGCCCCCTGTCTGCAGCTGGTTGGCCCCCCAGGGAGGGCTGGGACGTGTCTGATTGTATCTCTGCCCCAGTGCCAGGCAAGGGCTGGGGTTGGGCAGACCTGTGGGGGTGGGGGTGACAGTGATGGCCAGCACTCAACCACCAGTCACCTCTTGAGCACCTACTGTGTGCAGAGCACCTCCTGTGTGCTAAGCACTGCCCTCAGTACCAGGGCAACAGGTATGACAGGACAGACAAGGTCCTGTCCTGGCGAGCTCACATTCCAGAGAGTGGTCCTCTGCCAGAAGGTAGAAATCGCCAAGAAAAACAACCAAAGCAGATGAGAGTGATGGGGCAGGAGGGGCTCGAAGAAATGTCAGTGGTGGCTCCGCGGGACCCTCACTTGAGACGAGGCCCCCTCTCTCAGACCTTTTCTCCTGAAATAAGCCTCCAGCCTAGTCTTTGGAGCCAGTAGACAAGGTTGAAACAGCAGGAAGAAGGATCTGCATTAGACAACAAAAGGGATTGTGGCAAACCAGGAGTTCCATCATGTACTTGCAAGAGGACTGGCTTCAGGGTCACGTGGGTGAGGGAGGCCCCATTTGTCTGGCAGCAGCAACAGGCCACACACAGTCTCTGAGCCCCAAGGGGCAGCGCCCCCGTTTCCTATGCCTCGGAACAGGAAACAAGGCCCATGGCTCTCCGGCAGGCTGGGGAGACCCTGCCTGGAACCCGCACTGTCTAATGCCAAGCCTTGTGGGACAGCCGGGCTGAAGTAGATCCCAGATCATGTGAAGGCCCCTTGCCTGTGGGCGGCCGGGCATCCTGACTGGAAAAGTAGTGAGGAAACCGATCTGCCTGACCTCGCTGCCTGGCCCTGCACAGACCTTTCTGGGCCAGGGGTGTGAGTTACGTCCCAGGGGGAGGGGGAGGGGCGGCAGTCACACCATCCTTGGGACTCTCCAGGTCACGGGCAGCAGCTCTGGGCCCCAGGCCAGCTCAGGGGAAAACCAGGGGTACGAAAAGGCCAGCCACAGAACAGGGTGAAGGCCACACCTAGCAGTCAGCACTCAGCAGATGGTATACCCTGATTCACCCACCCCTTTGTCCCTCCTCAAGTCTGGTCACCAAGTCTTCCTTTCCAGTTTCTGCCCCCAAAGTGTCCCTACCCCTGGCCCAGGCTCACCTCCCCCCAAGCCCTTCTCCCCATGACCCTCTTCTCTGTTCTCCAAGGGACCCAACCCACAGACCTGACATGAACCTGAGGTCCTCAGGCTGTCCCCACATCCCTGCCCAGCCCCCAGCCCCAGCACTCCTTCATGTCCCGGGTGGGCCCAGCGGTGTGGGGGAGAAGGGGGAGTGAAAAGTGTGGGGGAGAAGGAGAGTGAAAATTGTGGGGCCAAACAAGCACAGAGGAGAGAGCCCCTATCTCATCCTGTACCCTGGTTGGCACCAGTTGAGTGACCTAAGCCTGCAGGGGGCGCTCTGTGCAGAGGAGGCTCCCTGTAAACTAGACTTCAGGGAGAAAAACGTGGCCCAAAGGCCCAGACACGATGCCAGCAGGGGCCCACTCACAGACACTCATTGCCTAGCATCCTGCGCCTTCTAATTATGTGCCTTCTAATTACCCCAAACCGGCACTTACTCCAGTCTGGCTGCCCAAGTCTCTGTTTTCAGCCAGCACCCCCAGCCCCCACTCAGCCCAGACGGGACCCTGATGGACCAGCCTGGCTGCCCTGAAGACCTCGTCCACACTGGTGCACACTCTTGCTGCTCCGGCCCCCTCCTCACACGCACTCCTTCCCCACTTAGCCTGTGGCGTCTAATCCCTTAGCCCTGGAACCGTGACCTAAAAGCAAACTCGTTTAGAAGCCCCTCAGCCTATCTTGGCAGCTACGAAGGCCTCATCCCCACCCCTCTGCCTTGTCCTGAAGGCTGAGCAGTCAGTGACCTTCCAAAGCCAAGTGCTTCCTGAGGGCTTCCTGGAAGAGGGTGTCAGAGAGGGGCAGAGCAAGGCCCCAGGAAGGGCGAGCACCCTCAGCCTACAGATGGGAGAGCTCCTCTGCAGCTGGAATAGGATGGATTGAGCGCTCTCCCAGTAGCGTCGTCTGACCCAGGGGGGTTTTAGCAGAGAAGAAAGTTAGCTTAGAGATCACTCCTCCCCAGGGTCTCCAACCTGGGGGCCCATCCCCACTGCCAGCAACTCCCTGTGGGACAAGAGCCCACCGCTTCACCTTACTGGGTCTCAATCTCCTTGTCTGCAAAATGGGGATGCTTATCTCCCGTGGCAAGGCTGTCATGAGGCTTATATGACATAATGAGCCTAAAATAGGTCATGTGATTCCCCCACCCCTTTTTTCCCCTCTGCACCGCTTGTGCTCGTCACGGTTTGTAATTAAGTATTTGTTTGCTTACTTGTTTATTGCTTACTCCCCACTAGACAGTAGCAAGGGTGGGAATGTCTGCTTTATCTACCACAAAACCCCACACTCAGCCTAGTGTCTGGGGCCCAGCCCAGGCCCCCACAAAACAGACTCCTTGAAGTGGGGGGAGGGCTTCCTCAGACTTGCCCCTCCTCCAAAAAAAAATGCTAACACAATTAGAGTGAGAAATTCCCTGGAAAAAAGCCAACTAGCAAAGTCCCGGCCCTGGGCCCCAGAGAGAGGTGGAAGCTGGAGGCGTAGAGCCCCAGGGAAGTACAGCCAGAGAGAGGCCTCAGAGAAAGAGGAAGCCAGCCCACTCCGCCCGCCCAGTCCACCGGCAACTTCTCCTTTCCCAGAATTGAAGCTCGGGTCACCCAAGCCTCTGCCATGTCTCTCTGCCCCAGCCTGGGTTCCTCCTCTCCTCCCATACGTTCCCCTGTCCTCGCCTTGCTTCTCCCTCAAAGGCTTCCATCGTCAGCTCTACCGAACCCCAAATCCTGAAGATCATCCCACCCTGCCCCTCTTGCCTCCAGTTCAGACCTACCCTGCAGCCAAGGTGTCCTGGAAAAGTTTGGCCTTGGCCCAGCCCCTCACTCTCAGATGGTGTCCTGACCCACCCCAGCCAAGCACCCCTCCCTGCATACACACTACAGCCACCTGATCTTCTTTTGGGCCCTCGGACACACTTGCCTCTTACCCTAGCCCTTGTACTGACTGTTTCCTCTGCCCTGAAGCCCCTCCCATCACTTGGTCAACACCTCTTCCTTCAGAGCTCAGCTCAAAGTCACTTCCTCCTGGAAGCCCCCTCCCACCAGCCACCACTTCTCCTTCAGCATTAATCTCCTTCCTGCGTGTGATGATCCTGTGTACCAGCCCCTCCATTCCCAATGCCAAGCACAGGGCCCGCCCCTGGTATGTAGATAGGTGGGGATGTGGAAAGGCACTCTCAGTAGAGGGTAGAGCCTATGCTAAGGTAGGGAGGGCTGGAGAGCAGGGTGATGGTTAAGGAGCCCAGAGCTTGGGGTTAGGCTCCCTTGGGGATATACACCATGGAAGACAAGTGCTGCCATCAGCCTGCCTTGCTCTGTTCTCCACTGGCTTTGTGGCTAGGGACCCCCCTGCAGAGGGCTGCCCGGAGGATAAGATGAGAGAATTCACATTAAGCCCTCAGCACAGGGCCTGGGGCAGAGCAATAACCATCACAAGAATATTGAATACACCATGGACTGCCAAAAGAACGAACAAATCTGTCTTGGAAGAAGTACAGCCAGAATGCTTCTTAGAAGCAAACAGGGCGAGACTATGTCTCACATACTTTGGACATGTTATCAGGAGGGATCAGTCCCTAGAGAAGGACATCATGCTTGGTAGAGGGTCATCGAAAAAGAGGAAGACCCTCAATGAGATGGACTGACACAGTGGCTGCCAAAACAGGCTCAAGCATAACAATGATTGTGAGGATGGCTCAGGAGTGGGCAGTGTTCCGTTATGTTGTGTTGTACATAGGTTCGCTATGAGTTGGAACCAGCTCCATGGCACCTAACAACAACTGCAGTCTGTGCCTCAGTTCCCTCATCTGTAAACTGGGGACGGGGTAATGGCACACACCTGACAGGGAGGTGTGACGTATAAATGAGGAATTCTCATTTGTGTTTACGGGTAGTGCTCGGCACTGAGCCAGGCTCCACCAGCGGTATCCAATTAGCCGCGGAGAAAATCTGAAGGTGGGGGTGTCAGAGAGGTAGAGGAGTCTGGAAAGGTCGGCAGGCAGTGCCCAGGTTATACCGAGCCTCACCTACAAGCTGAGAAGCTTGGCCTTCGCCAAGGCCTACAGGAGCCTTGAAGGGTTAAGTAGGGGAGAGAGAGATGTGTAACAATTCGCATTTCAGAGGGTTCACTGGGCTGCCTGCCAAGTGGAGGCAGGACTGAGGGAGATGGTGGTGGGAGGCAGGTACCTAGTATCTGGCAGGAGCTCTCTGGTGTAGGGC